ACCCAAGTAGAGACTGCAATTCTTTGCGGTTGCAAGTACTGAGTTGTATGTAGAGGTTAATGTTGGTAAGAATGTTCTCTATCTTGGTGCGTGGCAGGCTGGCTTGCATGGTGGCTGAGTCTAGCATGATTCCAAGAAAGGTGATGACTGTATCTGGTCCTTCAGTTTTGGTGGGGGAGACTGGAATGCCCACCTGCTTAAAAAGACTGATGGTTTCTATGAGGCTTCTGGGAGGGGAAATATTCTCTTCGATCAGTAAGAAATCATCCAGGTAGTGTATAACTGTAGGGCATCTGGCTACATTTAATAATAACCAGCATAATGTTTCGGCGAATACGTCGAAAATGGCCGGACTACTTTTTGAACCAAACGTTAAGCGTGAGAAAAAGTAGTAGTGCCCGGCCCACTTAATGCCATGCAGGTGCCATAGTGTAGGATGGATAGGCAATAATTTGAAGGCATTTGTTATGTCAGTCTTGCTGAGCCATGCTCTGACCCCTGCCTGCATGATAGCCGTAATGGCGTGATCTATGGTGGAGTATTGAAGTGAAAATTCCTCAGAGGGGATAAGGGAGTTCAGACTAGGTGTGGCAGAGGAGTGAGGTGCAGACAGATCGATGATAAGTCTTTGTTTGTGGGAAGATTTCCCTGTGACAATACCGATGGGATTTGTCCGCCATGTGGAAAAAGGAGGGGACTGAAAGGGTCCCAATAGGAAGTCCTCTGCCACTTCTTTGGCTATGAGTGTACTAACTGCTGTAGGGTTTTGTTGTGCAGATTGTAAATTAGGACATTCAAGGATTCCTGAAGGCATGTGTATGAGACCAGTATGGAATCCTTGTGATAGACCAGTGATGATGAAGTCTACCAAATGTCTAGATGGATGTTGTGACAGTAATGCCGTGAGTACAGAAATATTTATATCAGTTAAGTATTGCTTAGGGTACATTTTATTCGGACACATGGTTTTGGCATGTGCCCTAAAACATTTTGAACATATATGCAATAATCGACAACCACTGTAATTACATGCACCGACATTGAAATTATTACATATTTGGGATTTCCCCAAAAACTTGATAGGTCGACCCAGTTTGTCTTTGGGTGTTTTCTCTGCCGAACCAGCGGAACTAGAGCCCTGCGAGGTAGTAGGTTCGTTCGCAGTGGTCGGACAAAAATTAGCAGTATGAGCCATGGAGGAGCAGTATGCACAAGCCGGTGCTCTTAGACCTGCAAAGTGCCTGCAGAAAATGATCGTATCAATCTTGCTCCAGTTGGACCTTGTCCCGTACTGTGAGAAGGCGCCAGACACTTTGGCAGAAAAGGATCTATGGTAGTCATAGAAAGCTGACCCACCATATTTGTTGCCCAGGTCCACCAGCCTGTGCATATATAAGTCAAACTCCTCACGTCTGTGGGGATATACCGTACAGATCACATCACGATAAATACCAAATGCTAATACAAAAATTCTGGAATAGTTAGCTTCCTATTTAATCGTGCATCCCTAGATTTGACCACCACAGAAATATCGTCATAAGCGTATGTCTTATGTTCCACTATATCCTGGGAGGCAATTAGTAGTGAGGCCAGATTGACATCTTTACCTTCCAGGATATCTTTTTTGAGGTGCTCAGGTATCATGTGGGCAGGGTAAACCTCTTGGTCATCCGAGGTGATGGCTGGAGAAACTGATTGCAACTCCACCACTGCTGGAGGGATTGCCGTGGCCGGTCCAGCCATAGTGAGGGCTGTAGTGACCGATTCAAGTTTCTCCAGCCTAGAATTGACCTTGCTCATAGATGCCATGAGGGATGTGAGCATGCCATGTATGTTTCCTGGGTTAAACTGGCTCGACCCTTCCTCAGCGTCCATGTTATCGGTTGAGGTGTGTAGTAACTTGTAAAGTTCCGCTTTCCTTGCTGTTGCTGGAAAAGGGATTTGTCGTCTCCTGAGTTCGCTAGTGATGCGAGGGATAGTCCATGACCTGAAAGATGCTGGACTAGCCGTATCTTCCTCCTGTGATGGGGTGTTTGCTCTAGCTGGAGTACTTGGGATGGAGAAATCCTCTACTCCTTCTTGAGACATACTAGATGACAAAATATATGGTTAGCGTGAAAAACCCCAGGGGATGTACTGGCAGGCTAATTATGCCGGATGAGGCGAAAAATTAATCTTGTTCTTTGGTGACCTGCTAGTTGCCAAGTGGCTATGAGAGGCTCTGTCTATGCGTTGGCGCGAGGGGTTATTTGAGGCCACCCGACGTAGTGGCAGGAGTTCGTAGGCCTCTCGGTGACAATAAAAGAAAACAGGGGAAGGGAGTGACAGGTGGCGCCCTCTCTATAATTTGCGAGGCGGCTAACTCACGTGTGGCCCGGGGGGCATTACCTCCGAAACGTTGAGGCGGGGTGTTGGCCTCGCGGACCACTAAACGATAGGCAGAATGCCCAGAGGGGAGATACCTATTTGGGCCTATAAACCCTAAAATTTGCCAGTACTCTATGTCCTTAGTAGAGATGGAACCGTATGTGATATATGGCGTTAGCAGGCTTAACGTACCTGGTAGTATGTATGAGTTTGATAAGCAACAGGTATAGAAAACCTGGAAAAACCTAAAGGGAAAGAAAACCAGATATGATAGTGTGAGAATTGGATCCTATGATACCAATTTAGACTAGTTAGCTGTGATGAGTTCTATCAGTACATATGGAGGGGGAAATTTTTTAATGAATGGTAGTGACGCGACTGGCCATATTATGTGGTATGGCCCTGGTAACCAGGTTTAGGGGTTTTTATAATATGTCTCTATGGTGACAAGATTAATGCGTATGATTATAGTAATGCTAGTGTTTGTAGTATAATATGGTGCAGGTTTAAAACAATACAGTCTATCTTAGGCCGTGAATGTAAGCCACAAAAAGAGGTATGTGTGAGGTAGAAAATACTTGACAAATTATCCTAAAACAGGAAAAAACGTGACGTATGAGTGGTTGAATCAAGACGTGTGATTCAACCCGAAAGTTTGTGAGATTTGAGACCGTGTTCTTGTGTACTTGGTATGTCGTTTGAGTACAAAGAAAAAAGTCAGAATTTATACGTGCCATGTAAGAAACGTGTGTACATGGTGTGATAGAAGCGTAATCTTCTAAAACATAATTTATAGCATGAGCACTACGTGAGATATCTATAAATAATGTAACAGCTTGTTTAAGCATAACTCCATATATATCACATGAAGAAATTCCAATATCACTAATAATGCAATATCTGCTAAGAGATTGAACCATAACCTAAATAAAAACTTATTTTTTAAGTATTTAATAGGGAGGATTTGCTCCAGTCATATGCAAGGATTCCGTAATTTGCATAAATAAATACCAGTAGTAACATGAAAACAGCTATGGATACTGATATTGCAGAAAACGAAAATAAGTTTGCTTAATACAAGAAACCGAAACGTCAGTCAGCACATAGAGTATACCGCGATCATGCCGGAAGCAAAAGGGTTAATATGCCTGTGACTTGACCGTAAAGCGTGTGGCCCTAAAGTAAGGCCGTTTTAAAATCGCGACGCCGTGGGAAATGATCCAGGCGACGGACTTACGATTTTGAAGTCCTGTGGACTTAATCTGCGACGAAAACCGGGTACGTGCGTGGCTGGACGGGCGGAAAACCTGTAAGGACTCCTGGACACAGCTACACCAAACGAAACCGCAGGTTTTTTGAAAAGCAAGATGGCGCCGTACGTGAACCGGAAGTGGATTCTCATGCAGCGCTGACCTCGAACGGTATGGAGTCAGGTAAGGGGTGTCCCTTAAGTAGAGAGAAGGTGAGTCATACGCCCCTCCCACAATGACAGACAGACAGACTTGTGTTCGGGGCAAATAGCCGTATATGGAGTAAGGTTCCAGCATAAGCGTAGGATAGTATAAAGGGAGCAAGTCGGTTGTGGTGTGCCGAGACCGACGATACGGTAGGCCTGTAAATAAAGAGGGCCCACCAAGGAGTAAGTAAGTAAAGTAAATGGAAAGAAAATAGAAAGTGTTGAAATGAGGAGTGGGTGGGAGGGTCATTCTGATGCTGACCTCAAGCAATATGAGTCAGGTAAGGGGTGTCCCTTATATAGGGGAGTGAATTAATTTAAGCCCCTCCCACAAATACAGGCCAAATGGCCTTAAAACTTGTGTTCGGGGCAAATAGCCGTATATGGAGTAAGGTTCCAGCATAAGCGTAGGATAGTATAAAGGGAGCAAGTTGGTTGTGGTGTGCCGAGACCGACGATACGGTAGGCCTGTAAATAAAGAGGGCAAAAAGAATAATCAAAGATTTAATACAGTCAACAATATATACAAATTAACCAGACATTTCCTTAAATGCATTACGGTATTTAATTCCTGGAAGGATTTTTGAAGGTAGGAATCTAGGACCGCAACTGGACACCATTTGTTGTGGGTAGGATAGTATGTTATCTCTACTGTTGGTGCGTGTTGACTCGTTTCGGAATGTGGTAGAGCCAATAGGTAATGATATATGTGTTTACATACGTGGGATCGTTGAAGACAATGATCTGTCTGAGTGGTGGTTATGGTAGTGGATTCTCTGGCCTGAGAAAGGCATAAAAGGCAGTGTGCATGGTGGTAATGGCCATCTTGGTAGTATAATTGAATGGTTGTAGTTCAAATAGGTCCGATAAGGATGGAATAGTTGGATGGCTATTGGTAATATCTGAGAGGAACGTGGGGGGATGGATTCCTGAAAACCTCTGAGTATATTCTTGTCTGGTATGATAGCATGAAGTTATGGTAGTTTTGGCCATAGGTTATCCTGTGTTGTTGAATGCCTGTAAAATATATAATTAATGGTGTGTGAGATGGTTTTAGATTAAGGTGGCAAAAAATGAAGCAAAACCTAGGAGAAATGTTATGACACAGGTTGAGCTATGTCGTGTTCCAATGAGATTCTTTAAAGCCAGGTGAATAGGTGTTATGCGTTCTACAAGTATGGGATGAAAGTGCTAGGTGGGATAGTGCATGCTATGCTGCATGAGTATGTCTAATTCATGATTTTGTCTCTGGAACGAAAGAGTGGCCGTGACTGTATGGGCGGCTGTAGGAAGCGTATGATGAACGTGCCTGGAATATAAATGAGACAATTGTCAGCAAGGATGTATACCCCCGCCTGGTACATGAAAGTAAAAGAAATGTGGTAAGTGGCCAACCAAGTGAGTTCCCCAGCAATACCATGATCGTATGGATGATGAGTGGCATTTGTTAATGATATGACATGTGCTTAGTTGTCTGAGTAACAACGGATTGATGACCCTGACCATGATTTACCCCATGCCACAGCAGCTGCTTTTAGCGGGGATAGGATTGCCCATTTTATGCCATGTAAGTGCCAGTTTGTAGGGTAGATGGTAGCCGTTTACTGTGTTGATGATATTGGTCTTACTTAAAGAAGCTTCAACCCATGCTTGAGTGATAGCTGTAAAGGTAGATCAATGGTGTGTATAGTAAGGAAACTCCTCGGAGGGTATGAGGGAGTTGAGACTTGGGGTAGCGAAGGTGTGTGGTGCCAATAAGTCTATGGTTAGTCTTTGTTTAAGGGAAGATTCCCTTGTGACAATACCAATGTGTTTGTGTTTGGTGCCATGCTGTAAATGGTGGAGATTGGAAAACCCAAGTAAAAACCCCTCTGCAAATCTTGGCTATGAGTGTGTTTACAGCCGACGGTTCTGTTGTGCTGACTGTAAGTGAGGGCATACTATATTCCTTGAGTGTTTATTTATGATACCTGTATGGGAGCCCTTTGAAGCTCCAGAGCCTTAGTAAATATACTACAAGTCTGGAAGGGTGATGAGTCAGTAGTGTTGAAAATACATTGGTGTGTACAGATGGTGAGTACGTTATTTGTAAGTTGTATTGGGACACATGGTTTGTCATGTGCCCTGAATGATTTGAACATATATGCAACAGTCTATATGCAATGCAACTACTAATACCAATTGTCTCTGGTAGTTCAGAGGTGCTGGTACCTGGAGCCTGAAAGTGCTCGCCCGTTTGTTTGGGAGAAAATCCCTTCTGGATGGGTACCTGCACAAATAAGCATCTCTACATATTCCAAATGCCAACACAACCAAGTGATGGTCAGTTCCCGATTTACCTAGAAGCCCTGGGTCTGACCATCATAGATACATCATCATACATATATATGCCTTGTTTCCCCAATGTGCCGGGATCATATGTGCAAGGTTAACGTCTTGAACCAAGTAACAGAGTTTCGGTTGGTGCTGGTTGTACAGTAGCGTGAGGCCCAGCCTTGTGAGGGCTGTGACTGACTCGAGATTGCCAGTCTGTCGTAAATGTTTTGGCTCATGAGTTTATGAGTGAGGCTAGCATGGCCTGGGTGTCACCTGAGTTGGTGTTGCTGGGCCTTCCCCTGCTTCCGTGTTGTCCGTTGATGTGTGGAGGAGTTTGAATAACTCTGCTTTCCTTGCTGTGGCAGGGTAGGGGATTTGTCGCCTCCTTAGGTCGGAGCCACATCTCCTCTGCTTGAAGGTGTATCACTTCTAGCCGGGGTGCCAGGAAGAGATGATTCTTCACCATCTTTTTGAGAAATACTTAAATAACAATAAAGATTGCAATTATTATTTGTACCCAGGGGTCTTGTACTGGCTTGCTAGCTAAGCCGTAAAGCGAAACGATTAGGCTTGGTGTTTTTTGGTGACTGGTGAGGCACTGCTAGTTGCCAAGTGGCTTGAGAGGCTCTATCTATGCTTGGCGTGAGGGGATTTTGTGTGGCCACCGAACGTTGTGGCAGGATGTTGGCCTCTCGGTGACAGTAACCAGAAAAATAGGAAGGGGAGTGACAGGTGAGGCCCTCTCTATGATACAATGCGAGGTGGCTAGCTCACGAGTGGCCCGAGGGTGTATGCCTCCGAGTGTGAGGCGGGGTGTTGGCCTCGCGGGACCACTAACCGAAGCATAATGCAGAGAAAAAAGGGGGTAATACCTATTGGGCCCTAGAACCCTAATTGCTGGTACACTATTACTATTCCAGGGAAGGTAAGAGATGGATAACTACGTGAGCAGGTGTACGTACCTGGTAGTATGGTATTGAACCTGACAATCCGTATAGGTTTTTTAGTAGTAACTGTAACCTGAATGGATAAAATCGTATGGCATAAGGAAATATGGCATAGACCAAGCTTATCTTAAAACATACAGTATATGTGAAAGTAAAGTGCAGTGATATGTAAATATTAAACATCATATCCATACTGGTTAAATATGTATCAATCTTAACCCATTAAGTGCCGTATGTAAGTGAACCATATTACCAGTTACGTATATACAGATGCGTGTGCTACTGTGTAATAATATGTGTATTTATAACAGATATTGATATACTGCTTGCTATGTGAATTGTTGTATGCCTTATTGAATGGCAAGTGAACATGGAGTTGCAAAATGCAAGTGCACTGGAGATCTGCCGAGTGCCCTATAGGTGGCAGTGTAGTTGATAATGATTTGTATGTGAAATGTTGTTTGTCTGTTGACCTATAGGGGGTCAGTGTTTTGGTGTTGGTAAAACCCCATGAAAATTGTCAATGTACTTGACAGACCTGTAGGTGGCAGTGTTGATAGAACCACTGTTAGTGTTAATGTGAAATGTAAAATTATTGTGAATTAAACCTGAAGTTGAGCCTGTGTTGGAGTTTAATTCATGGTTTATGGTTATGTTTAAAACAATCTTATGTGTAATTTATATTGGCTGGTAATTGTATATGACATGTGAAGACAGTTTTGCTGTTGACCAGTAGGGTTCAGAAATGCTAATTGTATGGTAAAATACCCTTTAACCCCTGAAGGATACATGACATGTGTGACATATCATAATTCCCTTTTATTCCAGAGCTTGGTCCTTAAGGGGTTAATCCAAATGCAAGGTTAACGTGAGATTTTGAGAGTGACCTGTAGGGGTCAGTGTGGTTTATGTGAAACATTGTTTGTGAGCTATGCCCCAGCATTATAGTTGTGTGACAGGGAAACAAACAGTGCCCGTTTGACAATATACAATAAGTGAACATAATAGCTTAATAACAGTCATTGTAACAAACCAAAGTTCTGTTCATGGTTGTAAACGCACGAAGCGTGTGTGTAGTACAATAGTAAATGCATGAACTAGTTCCCGTTTGGTAGAAAATTGCACGAACTGTGAGCCTGGTATGTCAGGCAAACAAAACGAACAGTGAGATTCGAAATGCACGCACAGAATTGCCTAGTATTGAAACAGAATGTGTTCCCGTTTGGGAGTATGCTAATGCTCGAAATGAGCCAGTGACAGATATAAACAAGTGAATTTAAACGAATGATATGCACGAACATGCAATGGTTTTAGGACATATTTAGACAAAATGCAGCCGTAAAGTGAGGACCTGACCCGTGCATGGTGCCGTGGGACTGATGCCTGGCGTAACGGGTAGGTCGACTTACGGTTTGTGAGTCACTTGGACACCATCCACAGCGATAGATTGAAGAAAGAAGGTGGTAGGCCGGAAAAGCCTGTGGCTGAATTCCTGACACAGCTGAGCTTAGAAAACCTCATGGAGTAATCAGGTAAAATGGCGTCTGGATGACCCGGAAGTGGAAATCATTCTGATGCTGACCTCAAGCAATATGAGTTAGGTAAGGGGTGTCCCTTATATAGGGGAGTGAATTAATTTAAGCCCCTCACACAAATACAGTCCAAATGGCCTTAAAACATATGCTAAGAACTCACAAAGTTACTTTGGGGCAGGTAAATTTAAAAATATAAATATTGCAAAGCAGATATCTTTAAATATCAAACGTGTAGCTCCCTGTAACCAAGCGGAATTGGTTGTTGTTTTATGTTGGGCATTTCATGGTTAATACACCTGATGACCCAACTTGAAGAGTTAATGGTTAAAAAAAGTGTAATCTGCCAGTAGGTACAATAGTTGAAAATAAAGAAATTAATTATTTCAATTAAAAAAAGTTTTCTCAGTATGTCTGATAAACTGAGAGATAGCCACACAGCAAATTGCTCAAACCCAACTCCATGTGTTATATTATGAATGCTGAAATAAATGAGCAGGTGCCCCCAGGACAATCTATCCCGGGGGCATCCATAGAGAGGCCTCTCCTATTCCTATACCTTGAAACATAGGTGAGCATAGAACAATGCCAACTTAAAGTTGTATCTGCATAAATAAAGGTTATTTGTTCCAATGTTGATGGAAGTAAAAATGTAGTAAATGGAGCTGAACACAAAAAATAAATCCTCACAAGTTGATAACTTTATTAAATATATATTTTTCACACTTGATTTACATGACAAGGGAATGTATCTAGTATGTGTATGTATGTATGTTCATGGGCAATATAATATATTTTAACTGAGTAGACACCAAAGACATTTTTATAACTGGCGTCCAATCAGCTGAATTTGAGTTACAATTGTGTTTGAGCAATTTGCTTACAAATGTAGGTAAAGTTGTTAAGGCTACCTCACTAATTACCACTAGGTGGCAACACTTTCAAATTATTGCTTTCCAAACAGTGTTTGCTTATGAAATCATGAAAACACCTTTTTGGGGGTATTTGTCTATCCTCATTGAGTGCATACAATGCTTCTAAAAATCCGGACATATTAATTTGCTTTGCACTACTTTTGGGTTGAGGCTAATTGGTATGATTGGTATGTCATGTAAAAGGGGGCATTAATTGACTTTGGTGTGTGGTTGTGGCAAAAGACCTGCATTCTTATTTAATGCCAAATAATTCTTACAACATACATCCATAAAACCTATTGTTACAAACATCAAGCATGTCAAACTCAAAGGCTAACACAGGCCAAATTAACAAGGTTTAAGTTTACGTGAGCCCCCAAAAAAGAGTGCGACCTTGACACTGCCCTCACTCCCACCACTCTAATTTAATACACTGCCTCCCTTCGTTTCCCCCAATTTAATTCACTG